AAACAACTCTATTCAAGAAAGGACTTTGGAAATTGAACTCGTTTGATTTACCACTGTTGTAAAGCAATAGCATGTATCTACAAAAGCAATCATAAAAAGAATTTGGGAAATATGTATTCAGTTAATTAAAATCATGTGATCTGAAGAAAGGTTTGCTCTCACAACAACCAAAATGAATTCTCTTAGATGTTCTTTTACATCAGATTTTGAAAATCGTTTTGGTAAGGCTATTCTTAAAATTGAACAGATATCATAGATGTATACAGTATCATCCTGAAAAATCTTTTTATAAATTCTGCAAAGCAAACCTTGATATTGAGCATGTATTCTAACCAACAAATCTATCACACTAGAAAGTACTTCAACTTTGGAAACTTCAGTATTTATTAATATATTATGATGGACGTTGATAACATTTTAGGAGTATGCTAGGTTCATATGTGTAAATACTATTTATGAAAGCAAGTTATATGACTGGGCACTTCAGTGTTATCTTAGGTATTATGCATAACACTTCCACATTCTGTATATAAATAATATTTATAAACTCAAGTACTATTGCACACTTGGGTGTTCGCTTGTATAATCATCTCTAAGGACAAATTTTATTATTTGCACACTTCTGTAATTTGTCTTTAAATGCTTTACAGTGATGAATTATGAGAATAAAATATATCATTCAGAAAAAAAAGAGACAGAGCTATATGTTAACCATTATCATTTATTCAAGTTTTATAAATGAGCTTTGGGCACTAATACAAGTATAATGAAAGCCTGTGAGAATTAAGTAAACCAGTAAATATTTAACATATAAAAAAAGCTGTATTAACATATTTCATGTTATCAAAATAAAATGTCAAGCTTTATCTCTCTTTCTCTCTCTCTCTCTATATATATATGATAGTTAAGTTATATCATGTGTATGGAAGTAGCATAAGTAGCCAAGCCCTTTGGACTGAATGTAGCACTACATCTGTAGAGTAACTGAAGATGGTGTCTGAAATATAGCTTATCGTCAATGTTACTGAAACACGAAATTTAACAGGTAACACATGCAACATAAAAATCCTATAACAATTAGCTTCAGTATGACAAAATTAATTTCATTTTCTCAGAAAAACTAGAAGTTATCGTATAATAGATAAAAATGTATATAAAAATAAACTGGTAGGTAATAAACATTAAAAAATATTATAAATTCTAGGTTAAAAACATTAGAAAATATTATAAATTCTAGGTTAAAAACATTAGAAAAATATTTGTTTTAATATAAAACAAGTTTGCTGTAATGTGAATAAAACAAAATATTTATTTTAACTTCTTGAAAATCTTTGTTACACTTGAAAAGTAACTTGCACAGATATAAGAAGTGGTTTTGAAATAATCAATCTTTCTGTATGTGTAACCTTTATTGCATCTTTTATTAAAACACAGTTAACATAAAACAGTATAACACATAATACTGATGTTTGCTGTGAACACAAAATTAAAACATTTTAGTAAAATCACCAGTAGAAGAAGTACATTGTAGATATGTGTATTAAATGCAAATATGCTTATAGTTTTAAGCTTATTAGCTGTTATGGTTGTAAATTTTACTTTCAATAAAATTATAATTCAACATTGAAAAGGAAACCACCAATGTTTTCAACATCAAAATTAATAAGAATAAAGAGTAAAGTGTGCTGAAGTTTTACACATGGTTCATACTGAATTGCTCAGATCAATTTCAAGCACTTTCCATGTACTCTCAGGATATTTTTCAAGCAATTTTTGGAAGCTAATATCTACATCAAAATCGACTGGATTCCACTGAAATTTTATCTAATTCCTATTTATTTGTTCAACATATGAATGTAGAGTAAAAAGGAAAAAATACTTTATTTACTGTGCTCAACTCCGCAACATGCAATAAAGTTAGATACTTCAATATATTCTGCTACTATAATATTTTCAAGTATTTTTGCAAAAAAGGCCCCTTTCAAGTACTTTCAAACCCTTGAAATTCCATTCTCAATTTCAAAGACTTTCAAGGATGAGTATGTACTTTGTTTACAATTCTTTTATGGTAGTCTCAGAAGTATAATTTTACTTGAAAATTTGTAAAATTCATTTCATTACTTCTTGACATACTTTTATATCATTCAAAAGATGAGAAACTGTGCAGTATTCAGTTAAACAACATGACTCATATTTTTGCTTAGAACTGCTTATTAAACTACCTCAACAATATGTAGTGTCAGATGATAAAAATTTGTAGGATTTTTTGCACTAACAGCACAGCTTTGCAAACTAGATGAATCTTTTTGGTATGCATTTATTTGGTACAATGATTTACCAAATTACAAAACTGACTTTTACTGGAAACACTGTATTACCAAGAGAAAAAAATGCACTAAACAATGAATTAAAAACAATTTCATTCATTACTGTAATATTTATAGAGAGAAAAAAGAAGCTTTCAATGGTAAACATGTTATTGAGCAAATGATTTTATTTCTTTTTTACCACTTTTATGTTAGCTTTAGGATGTGTTACTCTTTAAGCAAATACTGATCCATATAGCTTGGGTTAGCAGTGGTGAAATCTTCCATCTCTTTCAAAGCATTCAGTAAACCCATATAAGCTGGGGTTTGTTGCCACTGAGCTAATAGTTCTTCTGAATTTTGGACACTGGAGTCAACATGATGAAACATTGAATGGTACAGATCTAGCATGTGGTCGGGTATCAGATATCTGCGGTTTGGTACTACGTGATCTAGAACATAAAGTGCTGGAGTATACGGGAACCGAAGTACCAGCAGATGTTCATAATCTGAAGAGGCTTTTGTTAGGTCACTTGTTATAGTTGAAAGTCCATACATAAATAGGGAATCCAGGTGATGAAAAGTTGATTTTAAGTTCTGAAAACAGCCAAATTAAAAACTGTTGACAATTTGAACCTTATGTTATTTGTTTTACACATCAATTTTTATAACTTTTTACTTTGATCATCAAAACAGGGAAATTGGAAGTTCACAAAACCTTATGTACAGACCAATACAAATTAACTATAAAGCTACAAAAACTATAAGAGATCCTGTTCATCAAGAAATGGTGTTAGAGCTCTATTTACAAGTTAGTATATAGTGAAGTTGAAAAAAAAAGGAATTAAAATAAAAAATTAAAAACCTTCCATCCAAACAAACAACCAAAAAGAAACTGAAATATTGAGATGACAGTTACAATGTTTATAAAGTACAAGTAACAGTAGATTAATTCCATAGATTGATAAAAAAAGGGAAGATGGAAAGTTCACTAGAAAATAAAGTCATATTTTAGAAGTTTCCAAGTAAAAATATATATATTCCAATTTTCCCCAATTCTAAAGTTTTGCTATCCTCACTAGATTATTAACCAGAAATTAATGGATTTTATGTTACAAAATAAATATAACCAAATACAAGTCCCCCTCCAAAAAAAAATAGTCAGAAATCCCCAGTTTTTAAGATTCAGCTCAGTAAAATTGATATGGAGTGCCAAGTTACTGAAATTGGACTGATAAAACATGCCACGGATGTATAACTTCCTTACTGATATTCTGTACTTTAATTAATACACATTTTAATGTTACACTTACTTACTTACTGATGTCTTGTAACACTACAGGATACTAATTACTGAAAGCCAGTATAGATGCTACTTAATCTGCTTATGTCCTGTAACTCTGTAGTGATACTATTTACTGTGATGATATTCTGTTAATCACTGGAGATGCTACTGACCCCACTGATGTCCTGTAACTCTGCAGGGATCTACTTACTATATTCTGTACTAATGTTCTTGTATTTTACAATTGAATAAAGATGCTGAAGAGACACATAAAAATATGTTTTCTCTTTTGAATGTGAAAATCTGTTTCTTACTTTAATATTTCCTCAGGATTTAGTTTGTTACATTCATAATGCAATTACTAAAATATATCTAATGCAGAGAACCTACAAGTTATTTACATTATAAACAGTGTGATTGTTTGTTTGTTTTTGAATTTTGCGCAAAGCTACATGAGGGCTATCTGTGCTAGCCGTCCCTAATTTAGCAGTGTAAGACTAGAGGGAAGGCAGCTAGTCATCACCACCCACCACCAACTCTTGGGCTACTCTTTTATCAACAAATAGTGGGATTGACCATCACTTTATAATGCCCCCACGGCTGAAAGGGGGAGCATGTTTGGTGTGACGGGGATTCGAACCCGCAACCCTCAGATAGCAAGTCGAGTGCCCTAACCACCTGGCCATGCCGGGCCACACAGTGTGATACAAGCAGAATGATGTGTATGATACTATAAAAAATAAATTATTACTGCATAAAATAAATGAAAAAAATTGTATCAGTAAGAAAATATAGATACTATGGCACAGGAAGAGTCAAAACTGTAACAGACTGGAAACAAAGATCAATAAAACTGTAAGATCAATAAAAAAGTGTAAGCTAGGTAGGCAACTTCCTTCAACATTTTGTATTTATTTCCTTCTGTCATTGTTTAACTAACATTAATTAAAGTTCATGACCATTCTTCAGGATAAGTTAGGAATTTCAAACCTCTCCTTTTTGTCGAGCCCACTGTTGTTTAACAGCACCTTCAGACTCAATAATAATAATCTTCTTGTTACTTCTCTTGGAGTAGTCAACAAATTCCTGGACCCAGCCTTCTGGGTTGACCATAATTTCATGTTCTTGCTCAACATCAAGAAGGACATTAACCCCAAAGTTAATCGTTAGAAACTTAGCCAGTGCTTCAATAACTTGGGTGTGCAGCAAACAGTCATGAGAATAGAGAATTGATACTTGAAGGTTGGCATTTTGAATAGGCAGGTTACTCATTAGATGACCTAGAGTAGAATTAAACAAGGTTAAAGAAATGTAAGTTATGAAACTCAACACAAATAGTTTGTTTTTTAGTACTACTTTATGATTACAAAAGTAATTTAATACTAAATTACATATTACAGCTACAAAAAGTTTGAAATTATCAGAAGTTTAAGACTACAATGCATGTTGTACAGGGGTTTAGTACATTATATCAAAGTTTTTTTGAACTTCACTATGTCCTTACAAGTCTATGTTTCCACATCCAGTCAACTTACGACTGAACAATAGCCCTGCAGCATAGTTTACTTTACAAAAGGTTTTGGTGTAAAGTTTTTATGTCCAAAGCACATAACTTTTCCCTGCATGTTTTCCATAATTCATCTTGTGCATGAACACAATGGTTTCCAAGTGCCCATTTTAACAGACTGATTGCACAGAAATCCATAGGTATTACATCGACAACTTACGTGGTATGTCTTTGTATCAAAAAGCATGAAAACCCATTTCATTCTCCAGCTGCTTGAGGCATGAAAAAGTTGAATGGGTATGTTGTGGAAGCAACCTGTGTCACTCTTCTAGACAGAGATCCTTCTTGGTTATGTTGTATCAAGCATGTGGATGGCTTTATTTACTGACCTTTGTGTTTATGGATTCTCCCAGTTACAAAACACAGCACTTACTTACCATAGCTGGGTATGACTTGTGTGAGGTCTTACTTTAGATGGTCCTAGTTTTCAAATTGATCTATGTTCCTTTATTATCAAATTTCATTAAATAAAAGGGATAACCATGCATGAATACAATTTTTTATCTAAGTTTATGAATATTTTGCATTGGAAATCACTGTTGCATACCCTTCCAAAAAGCAGTCAGTTTTTGGTGGCATCTCACTTCCTAAGAAATGCTAAGAAGTATCAAAATGTAGTTCTGATTCATTCTTTTCCACCTATAGGTGTAGCAATTGAGGATATTTTACTTTTTTGGGGGGGGGGGGCTATTTACCTGCAATTCTCCAACAGAAAATAATATCCCCTTAACTCTTTCAGCCTGGGCTTGGTCTCTGGGACCAACATCGTAGCCATTTTGTGCTTGTTATAGTTTTCATGCTAAAAATTTTAAATTAGTAAACGAATGTTGACAACATTTGGCAGATTATCAGCAAACATTACTATGTTTTCATATGCAGAATATAAATTTTTTTTATTAAGTCTTAATGTTTGTAAAGCAATGTTTCTTTCATGCCTTTTTTTTTCACATCTTGCCTATCTATCATGCAAAGTAATTTTAATTTTAAGATTAAAAATACTTTTATGCATCAGAAACTTTTGAAATTTCACATGTGAAATCTTTTGTAATGTCCAGATAGTTATCAAACATTTAAGAAAAAACTATATTTTATCTGTTATTTTCAGTAATTAATCTCTGTACGGGTTCAGTAGATTTGACCAATCTCACTACCACCATAAAAAATTAGGAAATAAACAAATTATGCATCTTTCATTCTAGAATGAACACAAATTATAACATGAAAACATAAATGTTTAGACAAAATAGCTTAAATCTCATAACATTATACATATTTATAACTTTCATTATATTGACCTTTCACCCATGCCTGGTTAACAACTGAGAAGTTACAATGATGCAGCTCACGTGCACTCATGTTATCATATCAAATAACATAAAGGTGACCTTTGGTCTGTACAACTGTTTGTTTGTTTTTAATTTTGCGCAAAGCTACACGAGGGCTATCTGCGCTAGCCATCCCTAATTTAGCAGTGTAAGACTGGAGGAAAGTCAACTAGTCATCACCACCCACCGCCAACTCTTAGGCTACACTTTTACCAACGAATAGTGGGATTGACCGTCACATTATAACACCCCCACGGCTGAAAGGCGAGCATGTTTGGTGGGACGGGGATTCGAACCTGCGACCTGCAGCTTGCGAGTCGAGCGCCCTAACCACCTGGCCATGCCAGGCCCTGGTCTGTACAAAGTAACTTATCTTGACTGTGTTTTAGTCAACTAGTATTTTGTAAAATATAGTCACATTTCAATCATTATACATTATATATGTACATAGATTATTGCTATTTTGAAATAAGTTCTTAAAGTTATTTTTCCTACAATATAGAACAGTAAATAAAGAAGTAAAGCAAACAATTATCTCTTCTAGTTACGACCTTTGAACTCAGTTGCTCCTTGACGTAGGTTGCTAAGCCTTTAAAAATTTTGCATGTGGAGAATATGAAAAAAAAATTTTTTTTTAGGTTTTTATATATACATTTCAATAATTAAAAAATCATAAATTACTACATCAATACCATAGAATTACACTATAATTTATGAAGCTTAGTAATTAAACTGTATTTGGGTCTAAAAGAAATATGAAATTTTGAGCAGACTAAAGACACAACCTACCTCCTTGAACTCTTGGTTTGAAAGACTGAGATGGTGTCCTAACACATGAAAATGGCTGAGAAAACCACTAGGGGGACATTGTGAGCTTTCGATTGGTTATTCACTTGTCATATATTGAAGTAAATGTTATACAAGGGATCGTTTCCAAAAATGGAAAGTGGTGAGCGGGGCCATGTGTTTGATATCTCAACAAATAGAAAAGATAAAAGGCTGTTATTTTATATTCTAGCTTGTCAATATTGGTAATTTGAGTTTCTAATTTGTATGAAACTTAGTATTTTAACATCACAAACATCTAATTTGAACCAGTGCTGCATTCAACATACCACTTGACACATAAAAATTGATGTTTAACTCTGTTTTTTCAATATTTACTTTTAAAATAAGAAATTAAGTTATGTATAATACTAAAATTTGAATTATGATCTACAGATCTACAATAAAATTTTGAATGCGAGTTAACAAACAGGATGACATGGCCTTGTTGTTTGATGAGGTATTATATTGTGTGATTATGGTTTTCTTTACATTAAAGTGTAACTCAAAGGTTATTATGATTATTAATGAGTTATTTATGTATTTAAATACAATAAATAGGGGGGAGATTAAAATTTTAAAGGAAAATAGGGATCATTGGTTATTCGTAGAATTGCTATAAGAAGTATCCAATACAAAATAAATGCTGCAATAAAAGTACACAAACAAGTAATGTGATACTAGTTGAATGGATTTTAAAAGGATTTTCAATCCTTACTTTGGTTGGCATTGTGATCCGTATAGTTAAATGAAGCAGTCTAAGTTTACCAACCAAATTAAGATTAAATTTATGTGTTCAGTTTTTATATGCCCATGGATTGGAAACAACATCTATAAACTTTCAGTATAGTCATATCCCTGATAGCTATAACTTTTACAAGAATTAAATGCACAATCACAAACTTATAACATTTAATCTTTACTTTGGCCTACAGATAAATGTATAAAGCTACCAATGTATGGATTAAGTTTTCTAAATTTGTGATTGTGGTTTTAATTATTGTTTCATTACTTTTTGTAGCAGGATCTCTACTTCATTTTAAAATCTATAATTTTTTCAATACTCTTGTTTGTTTACTCTTTACATTATACCTCTATAAAGTATATACTTTACTCTTAGAAACTGTCGCAAGTCTATCCATCGATATGTGCTGCCATCTGTTGGGTTGAAAAGATATTTAAGTACGTGCATGTTTACCACACATATATATATAGATTTTTATTGGAATACCAAAAGCAGATACTTACAAACCAGTTAAGTAAGCTGGAGAAATGTTGTAGCTATAGTCAAAGCCGTCTAGACGGTAGCTCCACTGACGTGATCAAGTAAGTAGGTAGTAGATGAAAAATTGCTGTTCTAGAAACTTTTGAATTGTTAGCGACCTTTTTAGTATATTATTAGGATATATGCACATAATATATTATAACAAATACTTTGAAGGTCGGTTTTTTGCTAAGGAATTTTGATAGGGTGGTTTTTCGGCTCGTGAATTATTTGTAATCCTTGCCAATTCCTACTATTAAGTACTACTGTACTTAAAATGTGTTTTTTTTTTCTTCTTACAGTTGTTACCAGAAAGTGTAGTGGATCCTATGGAACTGCTATCCTATCTAGACCCCCCTGAGTTAAGCAGCAGTGGAAATACCACTTCAGGAAGCACAACCAACACAACTGCAACTAGCAGCTGTGCCACAACATCCACCTCAAATAGCACAAGTGATGACATCTTGTCATTTTTTGATTCGTAAACATTATTTTCACAGAAATTATAAAACGGTGTAGTGTGTTATTAAAGGAGAGCTTAGAAAACTTGTGGAATGCTCGTATTTATCTGAACTCTTCACAAACTCGAAGGACTGGAGTCCCAGTTTCAGGTGAAACTTGTGAATGGTACCCACAATGAATTTTCCACGTCTTGAGTAACAAAGATTCAAATCAAGACTGAGTTCCTATGCCTATTGTCCACTGTTAAAATGTAGTGGGCTTGCTGGCCAGAGCTTGTGTCATTATATGACAACAGTATCTTTTACCTCATGTTACTGTACAGTACATAAAAGAACTTCAGGTAGGAACAAACAGTGATTAATATTTGTTATGTCTGCATTCAAAGACAAACCACAACCAAGTGTTATGCAAAGTTTCGGGGAAGATAACGTAAGAGTTTTCAGTGCCACAAGAAATGCATGTTCAGTAACTGTGCACATGGCTGTTAACAGACAGCTGGCATTATGTATTATACAGTCAGAGTATTGTGGTGTCTCTATTTATTCCGTGTAATGACTGTGCAAGCTACTTTGTTAATGTTCACCACCAAGAACCTTGATACAATCGGATGTATGCATTAAACAATAATCATATCACTTTCACATTCAGATATGTCTGTTGAGTTGAAATCCACAATACTGCCACTTATTGAAGGCCAAAGAAACCAGAAAGACAACTTCAACTTACCCAATTACTTAAACCATTACTCCCTGTAACAGTGATTATTTTACCCTAAATCTGGTAGGCACTGAAAGGTCATATATCAAATGATTCTACTGTTTTTTGTGTTTTTTTTTTATCTAACTTGCATTGTCCATGCTGTCCAGTCAGAATGAAATGTGCTAATGTTCATTGATTTTGTGGTTATCAGGAATTTATAGGCTGGATTAAAAACAAACTATGGAAGTTTTCCTTTTCTGTCTTAACATTCAATGTACATAATGTAGGAAAATCTGTATAGATTCACCTTGTTCATATTTTCCCTCTCATCTTTTGTCTTTCTCGATGTCCATGTACTTTTTTTTTCCACTCTCCTAACATTTCAATCGTTACATAAAAACAAAAGAAGTTCCTGTGTTGTTTTTTACCAGACCATTTTAATACAGTTTTATTTTACATTTTGGACTTTTTCTTTTTTGTTTTATTCATATGAGAAAAGTTTGGGGTTAGACTGAAGTTGATTTAAAACTGTTACAAAGTCTGTATGATATTATCTTGTATATATAGTTTTTCCACTCT